ATGGGGCATTGACAATGAAAGATAAAAGAATCGAGGGATTACATCCTCAGGGTTTCGTGGGAAATGGCAATCTCACGTTAATGTGAGCTTTGCAAGGTGAGGTTATTCATGCCTTATTAATACAGCCTTCAGCTAAGTAACATGGGTTAACCACCTCATGTGAGACACTTTTAGGGGTAAAGAGGGGAGTAGATCTTAGTTTTTGAGGAGCTCAGAGCCTTGGGTTGGGCAGAGACTAACAGATGACTACGTTCCAGGTTAGCATGCGAAGAACAGGGCAAGATGGTCAGGAGTCGCTGAGCAGGAGCGTCGCTCAGCCTGGATGGAGCGCGGACTCTTTCCCAGGGCTGGAAAGTAGACTTGAATTTTAGAACTAGGAATGTAATCAATGTGGAAAGCACTAACGTTCAATAATCTCATCTTTATTTTATTTGCATTTCCCTGGCTCCTAGTCAGGCTAAGCTCTTTTCACATCCACTGGCCCTGTGCATTTTCTCTCCTGTGTACTGTCCATGCCATCTCTTTGTGGAAAGTGTCAGCATTTTTATTTAAAGCCAGAGCCATTTCATAACTGTGTATTCATAACCACAGCAATTAAAACATAATAGCTAGATCCATTAATACATTTCTTTTTATCAGTGACAATACTGAGGCCCTTACATCAGGTATTTATTCCTACAACCAAGCGTATAATTATGGCAAGCCCTTGCCAAGCTTGTTTCTTGTATACCTTAGTTGTGTCTTTTTATGATGTGTCTTTTGTGAGGAATAGACATTAATGCATAGCTGTACTTAGCGAGTATGATGAGTGCTCTATGTTAGTTGAATATTCCTAAGCTTCTTATGAGATGCATCAATAATCACGTCTTCAGATGACTATAAGGAGCTTCAAATTTTAATTGTCTGCCATTAGCTTTTAAGACTAAGCCTACTGACTTGTACAAACTATGAATTATTCTATATGCAGAATACATTCTTTAAGGCAGGATCTGATGCTTAATAGCCGTGTTTGTAGAACTGCATTTCCATGAATTGAAAGAAGCATCAATGGAGTGTGTAGCGAGTGTTTGATGGCAGAATAAGTAATAATTGCTAAAGAAGGTAAGAGTCTTCACTGTAATAGTATGCAGAGAGTCTATCATAGGTCAGAGTTTACTACAGTTACTGGTTTTGATTTCTATAAAAACTCATGAGGCAGATTATTACTATTCCCATTTTAGACAACAAAATAATCCTTCGTGTTCCAAAATGAACATGTGATGGTGGGTGCTGGCCAACCCAGGGCATGTGGGGTGAGATTTGTAAAGAAGTGTACGGTCAGTTTCATAAAAAATGGTATCTGAGAAAGTCAACAGTGGCACGCCAGAATTGAGGAATTTCTTATATTTCATTCAATCTAATATTCTCAGTGTGACCAGTTTACCAAGCTACACCAGTGAGTTGCATGTGGAAGTCTATTGCAGGCCTGGGGAATGGATAGGGGAACGATGGATTAGGTGCGATGCAGAGCAGGTTTCTCGGGGGACTAACGCATGAAGTGCTGCGACGTGCACATGCGCAGGATTAACGTTCCTCAGCGCTGGGGCAGGGCAGTGCAGCGCTTCCTTTATCACCTGCGTACTTCTTACTTAGAATGTCAAAACAAAAATAGGTAAACTGTTAATAGCTTGAGTGAACCAATGGAAACCCCCAAAATATAGTCTGGTAGGATTTTTCTTTTAGATTACTAATAGATTTTGTGAGGAAAAAATTTAGACATGATTACTAGAAAACATGCAAGATGTTTCTCTGCATAGAAATTCTAATGGAAGAAAACCAAACCATAAAGTAAGGAAATACTAGGGAACAGGAAAGTTGACACTGAGAAATGAAAAATTACACTGAATCCTTCACATTACAGGTACCAAATTGGACCTAGCTAACATCGAGTCTTATTCTGAGCATAGAAATATCTCACTGTTTAGGACTTTCTTATGTGAGATTACTTTCCAAATTCTTGCCTAGTTTCAGTGAAGAGCAATACACAATATTTGTTTATACTTCTGAATAATGTATGAAGCTGAATCTTCCTAACCTCTGTTAACTTTTTTATTTGGCCCAGTGACCTGCTGTAAAGCTGCTTTTAAAAGCCATCTCTAGACCTTAGATCTTAGGTGATGGACTCCCCCACCTGTTAGCTCTGCACCAATGGTAGATAGGTCTGAGCATCTTGCCTTTATCAACTTTAGAAACAGCTGCGTGACCTTTAGGTGCTTGTTCTGCTTGCACGTCTTTGCCAAACGCGCCTAGGATATGAGAAAATTACATGGCCTTTGGCTTCTTACTTTTGCTTTTACCGCACAGGTGGTGGTACTTACGTCTGATTCTTTTCTTCATGTGTGCCATAAATGGCAAGGACATGGCATGTGCTTCTGAAGCAGAAGAGCCCCACTGCTTTCCCTTGAGCAAATGGCGTCATGAATTCCACGGTGCGTTCAATACGCTGACATCGCGTTTTGCTGGGGTGAGGAAGGGAGCAAGGAAAGATCTGTATGCCCACACTGCGATTTCCTCCTACCAAACTCACCTCTGCAGCCACCCTTTCAAAGGACTGACACACTCTTCATCAAGTGAACATCTCTATGAATTATCAGCTGAACAGATCTCTTGTTAATTCTACTAAAAGTTCATCTAAAACAGACCTGTGATCCAGGAGAATGCCCAAGAAGTTTTATGGAATACTGAGATATAGTGCTAGAAGAACACCACAGACTTGATCTAAATCTTTAGGCACTAGTGTGCAATTTCTTTCTTCCCTTTCTTTCATGATGCTGTGGATTGAACTCCGGGCTCACTGTGAGCACTCTACTGCTAAGCAATAGCCTCAGCCCCTCTAATATGCAATTTCTGTGTTAATTCTGAGATCGAGTTCACACATACCAAGTTGACTGATGCATTTCTTACTCAAAAACACGAAGATATCAACTAGATGCTAAACTTCTAGTAAAATATTTGGTACATGTAACAAGATTCTAAATACACGGTATTCAGAACTTTATTAGACTCTGCTATTTTATTAGACTCTGCTAATTTTATCAACTCAGCATTTCAAAGCTTAATGACAGATATAGAAATAGGTTCATTAGACTCACACTGCAATTTTTGGATTTCAGGATATTTGTCCCATTTTTGTGACCAGTGGGTGACAATGAGGAATAATGCTAGCTAATATATGAAATGAAAAAGCACAGTATTTAGTCACATCTGAGACTGAAATACAGATTTTCCCACTTTTTGGCTGTGTGATCTTGGGCAAATCATTTAACTGCTAAGGAGCTTTCACCAGGATGTTCTAAGAATCCAATGATGCACTGATGTGAAAGTTCTTTGTAAAGAAAATGTTATATTCTCTATACTCAAAATTGAATGTTAGCTTTAGAAAAGGAACTCTAGGTATGGTCTTTGATTTTTCACAGTGAGAAAGATGTATGAGGAAACCAGTGAAGAAAGAATACCATACCCAGTGACACAATCAACCCTCACAGAAGCACCTTTAGACTGGGCTCTTGCTGCAGTTTTCAATGTGTTTGAGAAACTGAAAGGAATTTATTTTTTTCCTGGTTAAAACTTGCACAAAGTAGTTACTACCTACCAGGTACTGTGCCGAACACTTAACATAAAGATCATCCCACCCTCACAGTCACCCAGGAGGGTTGCTGCTATAGCTACAGTTGTTTTATGGATGAGGAAACCAGGGGCACACTTTAGAGAAGGACTCCGCCAGTCCTGACCACAGGCAGAATTTCACCCATATTTATTGCACTGATCAGTATTCACTGTATTCTGTTTGCTTTTTTTCTCCTGCTCCAGTTATTATGTGAGAATACTAAATTACTTTTCAGTACCTTTGGGATGAGGGGCAAATGTCAGATGTGGGTAATTCTCAACCCTAGAACAATCACACACAGCCTGATGAACCATTATACTTACTGGCAGAATATGCCACATCTACACCACCTATGAAATTGGGAAGACGAAGTGATCCAACTTTCCAAAGCGTGGGGAGGGAGCTGCAAATGGCCCTGTGTGTCTGCCTAAGGAGCCTACTCTCCACAACTCTTGAGAAATAGTTACTGCATTAAGAGGGCATGTAAAATTTTTTCCAGATTTCCCAACCACATAGACTTTCCCCTAGCTTGGGCTGCAGCCCTTACAATATGTGGTTTGGACACGAATCTGGAATCAATAATCTTTCTAGCACCCTGTGCATTTCTCGCCTGCTTCAAAAATCTCTTCTTTGCTTTCTTCCTTGGGGACTGGCTAAGACTAATCGTTTATGTTGATAAATCTGGTAAAACCTAGAGGTGATAACTTTGTGCATTATTTATATGAGGGTTTCCAGTATCTTGGTCCTACACAGGAGCGATGAACTTGGGACTATGAATGGCATGGCTGTTTTGGTAAAGATATTTTCATTATTACCACGGGGGCAACTTGCCTACATATAAAGCCAGCCTAGGCGGGCACCCAAATGGCTTCAGAAGCACAGCATGGCTGGCAGTGCTGGTGGCCCTGAGTTGATTCAACTTTCCGTTGTGTCTGACTTCCAGGAGTGTGCTGAGGCAGTAGGGACCACAGCCGTACCTTAAAATTATTTGGGGCACAATGGTGAAAAACTTTAATTAACTGAAGTACCCAAGCAGGAGGGAGTTTTTCTTAAAAGTAGGAGTAATATTAAAACTCTGCATAAATGTTCTAATCCAATTAATGAAAGTATTTAGGTAGAGTAATGAGTGTTATTTTGCAAAATTATTTGCAAGGCCCATGATAAAAGAAATTTAGAAAGAAATAAAGGAGCACTGCATCTACCTTCTGCCACGTGGCTTCTTTGGGGACATCCCCCGACCCCATTTCTGTTGTTAATTTTTCAGCAGATCTCTCTTTAACACCCCCATCACCAAAGATGTCCACGTAACTCAAGACAGTAATTTACTCACAAAGGAAACACACCTACAACTTTATTAATAACCAACTTTTTTATTAGAGCAGATACAGTTGTGAAAACTGTACATTATACATTTTGGTTTCAAGGATTATAAATAAAGGAACTCACAGATAGGGAGTTCTTTTTTCACAGCAAGAAACTTTAAATAAACAAAGTCATGTTTTATTAAGTACATTGGCAGACTTCATGTGCTGTCCAAAATGTAGAGTACAGTATAACAACCCATTAGAAAGAGCCTTCATGTAAAATACAGCTGTGCACATTTTAGAAAAATACCAACAATTTGAGCTTTGTTTTAAAAAAGCTTATAAATCATACATATATTTATAAATGGAACCAACATGCTCACTTTATAAACATATCCTTTAATTATCTGTTACCCATTATTTCCAAAACATTACACATTTTAAATAAACACTTAATAAGACTACATATTTTATTTTCTTAAAAAAAATCAGCTTTCCATCCTTAAGGAGCTACAGGGTAAGGAAGGAGCAGTGAGAGTTCTGAGACTTTTACAGGGATTTAAATGTTTGTTCTTGGGTAAAAATGTACTTCCTAAATTTAAAAGTCAAAGCAAAATGTAAAAAATAAATATACAAGTTGTAATTTTTCATTTGCTCTCTTTCTGCCTTCTTCTTTATTCCATATTGGTCACACCCAGGATTCTCAACATATTGCACTTCTGCAAAAGACACCACCGGGTTACTACCCTGCAGGTGATAAGGCATGCGGTCCACACCTGTGCTAACACGGGAATTATGGGAACTGTCTCTTCTGCATTGAAAAAGTAGCTAATAGGGTAAAAAAAAGAATCTGAGTAAACCCATGCAAATCATGAACATATTTAGGAAGAGCTCCCCTTCCCTAGGTAAGGTCTTAAAGAGATTTAGCACATATCTTTCCTCCCCTGATTTCTTTTTAAATAATTATTTTTATAAAGACCATGTAATTTCTCTAAGTAAGCATGCTTCTGAGTAGGAAAGGATAAATTATAAAACGGCAAAAAAAAAATCAGAGTATGTCAGAATAACAAAGGATTGCAAAAGACAAATATTTAAAATAAAAATGTCTAAGCCTTTAAAATTTGAACTGAAATTACAAAAGGACTTTGAAAAACACAAAAGGCAGAAAATTGAGAGGCAGTGATTTAACAAAGCTTTATGCTCTACCTGAATGTATTCAACAAAAATTTAACTTGGGGAAAAAAAGAGACGAGCAGTTATTAATAGCATCTTGCTTAACTTTCATGGGAATTAACATAGCCACTGACAAGATTTTATTTGGTTGTAAAGTACGTCAGCAATGAAACTGAACCCTTTAAACACCGATTACCACAATCCATGCAACATTTTGACTACACTTCTTAGAATTCTGTTGTCTTTCAGCTTTTAAAATTTAGCACCTCTTTAAAAGTGCATAAATAATTCATCTCTGTAATGTTAAAAATATTTAAAATAAGTTATTTCTTAGGAAGGCGTAACGCCTTCAGACTGCTATATTTTAAAGATAAATAGGCTTTTCTAGGTTTAGGAAGAATAAATGACATGAAAAATGATGTATTGCTATCAAAATAAACACATTTTCTCTAGCGCTTTGTTGTTTCTTTTCCTTGAGATACAAGATGTATGTTCTGTCCAGCCAGGACTGCAGGTGGTAGATGACTATACATCATATTTAAATAAACAGCAAAAATTAGCAGAGTCGTGCACAAGCAAACGAAACATTCTCTCCCAGAACATTCCGGGAGATGTTAAAGCAGCAGGTCATGGCATAAGACTGCTGAGTGATGCTGCTACCTATTTCTTCTAATAAGATAGGAGTGAATGTTGGAACCACGTCCACAGCAACACAATCCTCTGACTGCATTCCTCGGGCAGTCGTTTCCCCAGCTCCCTACTAAAAACGTCAGATGGTAAAATAGTAAGACAGCTGTTGACTTCCATCAAAAAAAAAAAAAAAAAAAAAATGCAGCTCCATACATTTCCAGTTTAGTCACACTCTGCTAGGACAGATGGAGGAGCCAATGCCAAGAACTTCGCCGGATGGGGCTGCTTCAGCAGATTTTAAAAAAGAATTATTATTAAGTTTTGCTCTCCAACATGGCTGCGTGCTTCAGCTCCCAGAGAACCCCAAAGCCACAAGCATTCCCCAGGGATCTGAACAGGTCCTCGGGCTGAATTTTCCAAGTTTCATCTCTCTCGCGATCCCATCCTAATTCCAAGCCTCCTTGCCTGTGTCTGAGTCTGACTGGGGCGTGCCATTTAAAGGGCTGACGACAGCACGGCAGAGAACTGCGGGCTAACACCACTAGTTGTCATTGACTTCACTGAAGGGTCAAAACAGTTACAGCGTTAAGTAACTACGTTGAATCACATTCAGGCACAGCCAAAATTAAAGTGAAGGACAATATGTCATTGTTCAAACAATTATAAATTTGATTATGAGAACAGAATGTTTTTAATTGTAATTTTGAATAGAAATTAAGGCTATTCTTACCTTTCCTAATTCCAATCAAGTTAGAAAGTGGACAAAAAGAATGGCCAGCCCGATATTCAACAGCATGACAAGGACAATCATGACTGAATTGGGGCCCTGGAAATGAAAGAGAAAAACAAAACTAAGCATGATGTTTCCGTGTTAATACCGCTGCATTTCCAAACTATATCGCCAGAAACAATGATCAAAAATTCAGTATGGCTGCAGAAAGTAAGGCATAAATAGCAGTTCCAAAAAGCATAAACTAAAAGTAGCGGCATTATGTTTAGATGGAGCCTTGGCCGAACTTCTACTGTGAAAATGCTTCAGTCTTGAACTCTGTTAAAAATGCTTTTACTAACACCCTACTCCATTCACGTTGCATAAAGGACAACAGTCCGGGTTGAGACAGGTCACCATAAGAGGGCTTGGGGCCGATGGAAATCTGACCCCTGTCTGTCGCTGGGACTGAACTCAGACAAGGAAGCGTGTGCTCCTTGTCCAAGTAGTCAGGAAACAAAAGTAAAATCTGGGACAAGGAAGCTTCCATGGAAAACTCAGAATGAGGGTTTCCAGCTCACTTTTTCCTAGTCCTTTACTCCTTTAAATAAAAATCACAGTGGAGAAGGTGAATGCTTTCAGAAGTTACTCTTACAGGTTTAAGTTTTCACTTCTGAAATCATGGCCACACCCTCTCAGAAACCAAGTTACTTTTAACCAACTGCAAAATCTCTTTTCAATGAATATCACTATTAGAAATACCAGAAACTCCAAGATCCCCAAACTTTAGTTGTTTAAATAAACCTTGTATGACCCACCTGTTCAGATCTGGTCCATGGAGAACTCTCCTTTATTAGAAAGACATGATCTTGGCATTTACTATTCACATAGTGTCTAATTCATACATAGTATAAGAAGTGTTCCAAACTGGCCTCAGGAGGTAGGCAGGATAAGTAATTTTGTTGCTTCTGTTTTATAGCTGAGGAATCAGTTGTACGGTAGTTGGGTATCAAATACAACTATGTTGAGACAATGCTACAGAGACCTCAGCTGCACTTTTGGTGGCTGGGGTGAGTAATAGGGAAGACTGGAAGCTCCATTTATCAAGTGTTCATCTCTCTGGACTAGGGCTGGGGTCACACATATCACTTACTGACTGAGCTCTCTTCCTGGCATCTCCTTGGCAAAGGTCAGGGTGACCAGTTCTTTCCCTGTCACATTACTTTTCACATTTTATTGTCATTTATTGTTGAAATGTCACTTTCTCATGTGGACTCTGCTCTCCACAGAAGCCAGGGCCTTGTTGTATCCACCCCTATCGCTATGTACCCAGCGCCCAATCCACGAGGGTGCCCAATTAATTCCGGCAAACAATATACAGGGAGAATCTACTACCTACCAGATCTTTCCTAGGTGCTCTAGGTGTGTTGCTGAGCCAAGATTGAATTTTTGAACAAATAAAGCATTAGTGAAATAGAAGGTGGGAGAAAGCCCTTGAGAGAAGCAGTTAGGCAGAAGAAACTCTAGTTCCCAACACATTCCCACAGGTGTGAACTAGCGGTATTAACTGCATGACTGTCCACTAGGTGACTTGTTTCACTGGGGGTGCAAATGGATTCCATCACGTTTATTCAACTTTTTACTAATAAAATAAAAAGCTGTTTGATGAGAGTCTCGTACGTACCAATGGTGGTTCAAGCTGCTTGGCAGTGAGAGATACAAATTAGAGCCCTGTTATGAAATGTCAACTCCAATGGGAAAACACTGGATTTTTATAATGCCAGGCAGTGGACTAAGTGTTCCTAATTAGACTACATTTTGCTTATTTTTCACATTCAATTAATAGTTCCATTTTACAGAGCTTCAAGGAGGTTAGTGTCTTACTCAAGGCTCCTTAGCCTGGGCGGACAAATTAGAGCTAGAATTAAACCTCAGTCTGCCCGGCTGAGAGCTCCAGGCTTTTTACATCCCTATTAAAGCCCCAGGTCTTACTTTATTTTATTGTTCTGAGACAGGGCCTTGTGATGTAGTTCAGGCTGGCCTTGAACTCACTATATAGCCCAGACTAGCCTCGAATTCCTGTAATCCCAAGTGCTGGGATGACAGGCATGTGTTACTGTGCCTGGCTTCAGGTCTTAATTTAAAAACAATTTCCCATTAAGTTCTTTAGGATCAGTTTCATCTATTTAATTTCCCCAATGTCATGGAAACATCAAACCTTCGTAATGACCGACTCCTCTTTTAGAAGATTTGTATTTGAAATTAGTAGGAAAAGTCCTGACCTACGTAATTCTTCCATTAAGGCTAATTTAAGAGCACAGAAATAATGTAGAAAACTTCCAAGTGAAAATAATGGAAACGAGTTTTCAACACTGAACTCAGCGAGGGGTTTTAAGCAGATGCTATACCACTATATTTTTTCATTAGGTTTTGTTCATGAATGTTAAGACTTTGGGACAGTCTCAACTCTTTGGGCCAGTGCATTTAATGAAAGAGGAACGGAAGTATACTCCCTAAGACCACAATGACACACACAGTTCAGTGTCTCTCAGTGGACTCAGAAAGCGGAATCACAGAGAAAGCTTTGGTGAGGCCAACTTGAGAAGCTTAAGGTGGAGGCTAGGAATGTAGCTCCATGTTAGACAGACTGCCTAATACGTACAAGGCCCTGGGTTTGATCCTAGCACCAGGAAAAAAAAAAAGCTTAAGGTCTGCCTGAATCGCTACCTCCCATCTCACAAAATCTTACAGATGTGCTTACTACTTGGGTTTGTATGTTGACTTGGGTTGAACTTAGCTTACTCTCTTTCTTCATATTTCAGCTCACATCTCATTGTACTGACAATCTGGATTCGATGAATAACGCACGGGTGCTTTATCCGGAACCAAAAAGACAGATGTATGTACTTTTCCTACTGAACACAGTTCTTTACCCCGTGTAGGCTCCAACACACGTTTGTCCTCCTAGCACAGCTCCGTCCATGCAGTTATTTTTAAAGAGGACTCCGTGAGAACAAGAGCGAGCCTGCGTGAGAGGTTCCAACGGGAGCCAGGTAAGAAATAAGGATCTGGGACATTATGTTTAAAAGGCAGATATCAAGCCCTGACCGCGGTGTTCTTCAGATACCGAGGCAGGGTACCGGGTGAAAAGCTTTAAGGTGAAGTCCCATAAATACGACTGTGGTGGCCAGTTGTAGCTTAAAATAGCAAAATGAAAAAAAAGAAAAGCAACTCAGTCTTGCTTTTCCAGACTGACTGGGACAGGTGCGAGGAGACGCAGCGGAGGAAAGTTTAAGCGTGCACGAGATGAAACTTTCAGGCGGTCAGAGAAGCAAAAGAGAGGAGGTCAAAATGTGGAAAGAGATTCTAGCTCAAGAAATCCTTTTCTTCCGGAGACGATCTTTCATATGAAAATGGTGACGCGTTTTCTGCTCCGTTGCTAGGGTTTATTTAGGTCAAACCTAAAACTTCTCTAACTGAAAGTGTATGCAAAGAGCAAGCTGAACTTGCTAACATGGGCAAAGTCTGACGATATGTGTTTGTCTTTTTTTCTTTTTTTTGGTGAGGTTCACACTTGATTGAACAGAGATGCTCTCAATTCTACATAAATTCAAAAGAAAGATCAGGTATATCTCAAAACAAACTTGGAAGCTGATCATACATAGTAAGGATGAAAAAAAACGTTTAGCCAATTTTTAGAATGGGTGGAATTGCTAATTAGAGGAATAATTTGCAGCCTGAGTAACAAGGCTCTAAAGATGGTTCTGTGGCTCCTGCTAGAGCTGCCCTGTTGCAAAACCCTACTAACATTTCAGCACGACGTATGCCCCTGGGACCCTCGGCCGCAGGCGAGCACTGCCTTCCGGGCCCAGCAGCCTCTCGGAGAAGCCTGTGAAGTCACCACCACAGTGGCCTCCCTTCTCCCACTCCTCATACTTAGGCAAGCAATTTGCTCTCAGGGTTAGTTTGTGTCCCAGAAGAGTTTCTGTATTTCCAGGAGGTCAATGTCCCGGCTAATCCCGAAGATGGAGCAAGTTTATTGGAATATTTAGGAACTGTGTCCCTAACAGCGCTGAAACAAAAACCAGGCAATACTTTTAGGGCACTCCCTCTGTGCTCAGCACCGTATACGCATTAACTCACTTAATCTTGAAACAACTCCATGCCCCTGAGACAGGGACAGGTGAGGAACCCAAGGCACAAAAGCAGTTAGGACACGTGTCCAGAGCCACACAGCTGGAAAGCAGCAGAGCTGGGATTGGAAGATGCTCTCCACCAATGGCCGGTACTGCCTGAGTTACATGAGCTGGCTGACTACAAAACCCCAGGTTCTGGCTGGTCACACACCCTACAGACAGATTCTGACTCAAACTGGATCTCTCGGCTGCCCACTAAGAAAGCACTGATTCATCCTGGGTTTCCCTCGAACATCTGCTTCAGTGTGAATGTTTCCATGAATTTTAAATTGTTATTTATAAACTTCTAATTTACAAAGTCCCTCTACACACTCTTACCAGTGCTTCATCATTTTAAAGGTCATTCACTGACTATCCTTATGATAACAGTGTTCCTCCTAACATCTGTCAGCTATGTGAAAGGTGCTATCAGTTACCAGCAGGATGACAGACTGTCACGCCAAGATGCCAGTTCCTGTGACCCACACAGGCAGCCTGAAACTCAGGGAGGCTGCAGACCACTGGCCCCTGTCTCCATTGGTGTGTGAAGAGGGACCCTGGGAGTGACCTTCAGAGATGGAGGATACTTGATTAATTCCAAAAATCAGACGATTGCTCACAGAAGTAAAACAGTTTTTTTTTTTTTTTTGTTTTGTTTTTTAAATAAGGAGGCTGTGAATTTATTCAATGTAGTGCTGTTTCACAGAAGGAGTCTACAGGCAAGAGCTCGGGAACTCAAATGAGCAAGACACGGGGGATGCTCTTTCTTTATAGAGTTCTACAAGTGAACCCACCACCGACTGCTGAGGTACCCACCCGATGGTTTCAGTGTTTGAACTTCTCACTTGCAAATCAGGCAAACTAATACTGATATGTATGCGAGGTCTTAGTATGGATACAAATGCTGAACGTCAAATGACAAACAAATGATTAAATTTATCAAATATTACTGTACCGTCAGAATAATGATGTAACAATGTTAAACATTTTTTAAATGAATGCTTACTGAACAGTCAGAGCCTTGTAATGTTAGTCTGTCTTGAAAATCACTTAGCTCCATGGAGGCTGACTCTTAGGAAGTTAGTCCAAATAACCTGATTAATGTATACTTAGCTAATCAAAAAGAATCTGAAAAACAAGAGAACTGGTGTTTTCTAGCTACTAGTAAAAGAAACAAAAATTTCAAGTATAAGTTAACTGAAGAGATAAACTTTAGCTGTTAAACCCTATGAGCAAACTAAACAGACGAAAGTAAGGAACTCATGCTTATGCTATCATCTTGTTGGCTACAATACTAATTTCACCACCTCTCTACGCTACGGCTTCTTCCTGAGCTTCATTTAATGCCCAGCCCCAAGGCATGTGAGCAGGTTAACAGATCAATTAGTCAATTTCTAAAAAATTAGTAATTAGTTTCAGGCTATATAAATTTTAAAGAATCTGATGAAATATTAATGGTACCCATTATTCAACAATGAAACCTCATGTGGATGAGCATTTAAACATTTATTATTAACCCTGAGCTTTCCGCCCAAGTAAATATCTTATCTACCCAAGTCTCACTGGTAATAACTAGTATCTCCTAGGAAACTGAGAACGTGAAAACACACACAGTCTGAGACATTAGAAGGCCAAAGTAATTCTCTTAAATTGCTGCAAATTTTCTCATTGGGGAAGAAAAATGGTCTTGCAACAAAGCCTGGCTAATCAGGTAAAATCTAAGACAAATATCTGAGAAAAGAATTCACAGCAGCTAAAAGAGACACTCTTTGTGAAAACAGGCGGGCTGCGGTGCAGCTGAAGCGGGGCTCAGGGCCCCTCTTAGAGCTCGGAGCGGGGACGGCCATGGCAGTAACCATGTTTCCCTTCCGGTCCTCAGACAGAAGCTGCCATGAGGCTTGCCAAAAATCCCCGAAAAAGGCTTCCTGAGACTGAGGTTACCCACGGCTGCGGAACCTATGGGAGTATGTCAGAGGTGGGTGGCTCAGTGGACTCAGGAATTCTGGCCTGGAGCTGTGCTACCTCACACTACCTCACACTACAAACATGCTCCCCTCTGCCCTAAACACCGTGTGCTCCCGGGCCCTTTGTCAGGTCGGCTGCTGTTGAGATGCTGTCACCCCAGGCTGCTCCCTAAAAGAACCAAAGGGAAGAAAGGAAGAGAAAACATCTCTTGTAAGACTTACTGAATTGGCTTCTTTTTCTAAAGAAGGGCACGAATCGTTGCTTGCTGGATTCTTTGGTATAGCAAGTTCAGACTTCTTAGCTTTCGGCTCAGCTTTGCTTTCTTTGGCAACTGGTTTTGTCACAGATTTAGGGGAGCTCCACTTGTTCGGCGATGGCTTGTGCACCAGTGCTGAGGAAGCCTGGCTCGATCCATCCTCCTCCACGTCTTCCGGAGGGTGCTGGGGGGCGTTCAGTTTCACATAGTAGCCATGATACTGAGAATGCAGCTCCCCATTGCTGGGGTTGGGGATGTGGTGGCGGCCAGAGTACTTGGACTGGGCTACTACCTCCTTGGAGGGGGCCTTTGACATCAGGGGCTTACTGACAACAGCTGTGACCTGCTCGTCAGCCACACTCCGCTTATCTTGACCGAGTCTTGCCCCTGAACTGGGGTTCTGCTTCCTCAGGGCCTTTGGAGAGGAAGGCTTGGGAGAGTGGCTCTGCTTGGGACTCGCCTCAGGAGATGCAGGCGGGGTGGTGCCTTTGCGGTAAAAATGAGGAGATTCCTTTGGTGTAGGCAGCTTTTCTGGTGCCTTCTCTTCGGGATTTTCTTTAGCATCTACACCTTCCTGAAATCTCTGTTTGATGTAATCAGGGCCTGGGAAAAAAACAAAAGGGAGGAAGGTGATAAAAATAACTATAAAGTCTTCTACATTAGGCTCATACACTTTCTGCTAAATGGGGTTAGTGTTTTCTCTTTTAAATATATTTACGATGCTTTGTTTAAATATGAGCCATACATCCTCCAGGGGAAGAGATTATTACTAAAAAGGTACTTAAAAGATAATATCATTATTTACATTACTTTGATGGTCATAAAAATAATTCTGACATTTCTATTTATTGTATCATTCTTTTGTACTTGTAGAACACACACTGGTACGGAAACATAATTAACCTGTTTATCCAAATTATGTAATTTAATTAAAACACAGGAGGTACACATTTGTACGAAGAAATGATTCCTATCTGAAAACTTGAAGTACCCGTACTGCAAGTAAGGCGAAAGCCTGCAGGTAACTAATTTGTACTGATCAGTAGAGCCTTCCAGGTAGGAAGGACGTGCATAGTGTAGGTTGTACGGCACGAAGCACTCTGAAGCTGGGAGTGGTGGTGCAGACCCGTAATCCCAGCACCTGGATGCTGAAGCAGAAGGATCGAGACTTCAAGCCCAACCTGGGCGACTCAGTGACTTAGCAAGACCCTGTCTCAAAATAAAAAAGTGTTTAAAAGGCTGGGGATGTAGCGCTGTGGGAAGGTCCCACATTCAACCCCCGTGACCCGTCTTCCCCACCACTTCGGTGTATGAGTGTTCTACAGGCGTCCAGTTCAAGGCAAGGCAGCTGTCTTTGGTTCCGGGTGGGAGCTTCCAAACCCTCCCTCCAGCGTACGCGCGAGAAACATCCCCGACAACCGGTCCAGAGCTGGTCAGCTCTTGTCAGGTCTACAGAACTGCACCTCACTCATCCTCCTTCCTGCTTCCAGCCCATGTCCTGTCCCACATTAGCAAAAAGAGGTACAGAGGGGGTGAAGAACAATTATTTTTACTTGTTAAAGGTACAATTCCAATTTTAATGGCGCTTCCTGTGGTGGTCTGAATAATAAGCTACTGCAGTGAAATTGCTACTTACTAGTCAAGATATTTTATGAAATTTAAAGCTTTATCAAAATCGGAAGAAGCAGATATTATTCCCATTTTTGATCTGGAAGCAGCTATCGTAGCTGAAAAACCAAAAGTCACGTAGCACCTATGTCTCCTTTAAGAAAAAACATCATGCAACACAACATTTTCCAGTCAGAAAGAAGGCTTCCTGAGAGCATGCAGCTGCAGGCTGCACCCGGGGCCACAGACTCGGCAGGATTATAACCACTTCCACCTTCCAGAAGAGAAACCCACCCCTCGGGATTCGAGTTTCCCAAATCTGTCAAGATCACTTGTCAGCAACTGAGATTTCCTTTCTAAATACGGTTCAGTGGCTCTCTTTTTAAATCGGCAATTTTCTTTTAACTCTGTCAGAAATGGCAGCGTGAATTCCTGGCCCAGTGCGACAAATTTCATTGAGTGAAGGGGTGGCTGCACTCGCGCTAAAGGTGAGTCTCTGTTTTGGGACTCTTCCTTGGGCTGTGCTTTGACACAGCCCTGGGAGACCAAGGAAACAATGCGGAGTAAGAATTATGCTCCCCACTAGCAACTCCTCCCTACCTTTTACATTTATTTTTGGTGCCTGGGTGGTCTCAAGTTACACCCTCAAGGTTTGCCCCGATTTTTCAAGTCCTTAAGGTCACTCGCACTGGCGAAGCCCCTGGTGAGTCTACTGGAGACTGATTTTTACAAACCCCTTCCACCTCTCCTGTAATAAAGTATATTCTCCGAGACAGCCTGACGTGTTGTGTTGCTTGCCCACTTTGCCCCCATCCCTCCATCCAAAGTGGCATCCAAGTTGATTTTATCTGCGCCTCCGTTAGTCCGCTGTATAGCAGGAGTGAATACACCTGCGCAGGTATGACAGTACACACGCTGTGCAAAGGTAACTAAAACAGCCAGGACTTTTGGGGCCAATGGAGTGTTAATTCAAGCCACGTAACCCTGAACCAATTATACAAATGACTAAGGACTTCTAGAGTCTTCAATCTAACAGATAAGCACAAAAGTTATTTTTGCAAAAAACTGCCAAAATCTTTCTCTCTTAAAATTAAGGCACATTCAAAGTTTATGTTTCAGCTGGGCGCGATGGCCTAAGCCTGGAATCCCAGCAGTTGGGAGGCTGAGACAGAAGGACTGTGGTGAGTTCCAGGCCAGCCCGGGCTACGTAAGCAAGTTCAAGGCCAGCCTGACCTGCATAGTCAGACCCCGTCTCAAGACAACAACAACAACAACAAAACAACAAAACCAAAAAACAAACCCACCCAAAAAACTAATATTTAACTTAAGTAAACAAACAAAAGAGTGAAAAATAATCGACGGTGGTGACCGTTATTAGTTACATATTCTTAGAGGTGTAAGGAAAAGGTAAAGAGCAGCTGAACTGTGAGAAATAACGCCATCGGAAAGCCCATGTGCTTCGCTCTGAAGAGGTGAGATGGAGGTAGTGCGGCTTACAGATCTAGGATTTAACCCAGAGACCTTCAGTCCCAGCTGGGTTTACTGCAAAAAACAGATCAGAAGCAGAAATAGGAGCTGCTTTGACAGACAAAAGCGACAGCAGAGGATGAGACTGCTGAAACACAAATGGAAGAGGCTCAGGCAAGCCAGTAATACCGGCTGGTTCAAGAAGAGCTAATTTTTAAAGACCACACTTCAAGGCACATGCTTTAGTTGTCGAAAACAAGAAAACCTGTCATACTTGAATTAATACCTATTTTCAAATGCTTTGCATAAGCACTGAAAGAACTTTCTCTACCTCTTCATTTGGACTCTACCCTCATTAATATGCCAACTTAAGAATGATTTGGCCATTGGAGGGATTTGTATTAATGGATTTACGAAGCTAAAGCTTGGACTGCATTGAATGCATTTCTTAATACGCTTCTTAACTCTCAAATACCATCTGAATCACGTCTTTAACCTTTAGAAGCCTTACATGTTGCCTCTGAATGGTTTTCTTGTCCTGGGTATATTAGGAAAGGTATGTCTTACGCGACTACTTACGCCCACGCTCCTGAGTTTTCCAGTTCCATCTACAGGCCTAACGATACTGAAAACCTGCTGAGTTCAAAGACATTACTAGAGTAGTGAAAGTAGAGTTTGGATCACTTCTAGGTTTAAAAAACAATCCTGGCTTTACGATACATTTGAAAATGACTGGCTAAGGCATTTTAACGCGCTCTCAAGTACTGGCTCCTATACTTACTGCCTATTAGAAGCACTTGGGGTGCTCTGATTAAATGAACACAAATCCAAGCCTAGGAACCTTAAAGCTTACCAAGTGCGCCCAGAGGTTCTAATACATCCATTTACAAATGTCTGAAAGCACGCACAAAGTACCTGTGTTGACTAGACAGGGACCTAACCCCAGCCCTCCCGGACTACATCCAGCTGGGAATGGGTGCAGTGAGGCACCGTCGGGTGACAACTGGCCAAATAAGGGGTCTGCGCAGCTAGACTTTCCAGAGTAAGATGAAATGCATTTTAAATGAGACATTTAACGTAATGCAGAAGACAGAGGTTTTTCCTGGACTGTTTTCTCTTGGAAGCACATGCTGTGCCTGCTGCTTGTTCTGTGTAGTAATGTGTGTTAGCAATGCAATGCCAGCAACATAGAGCTGACGAGCTGCAGCAGTTCATTAAAAGGACTGGCCAGAATACTGCCGGGCAGGGAAATTATGACGAGTGCGGTTAGCTGTTGCAGTCAGCATTTTCAGACAGCCCTGCAGTCCTGTATTTATAGACAGCCTCTATAAATCCGAAGGGTTGTGTTGCCCTTTTTCCCCGTGGTTCACATGGGAAGAAGTCAGGTCCAGGTCACCTGCTCAGTGACACGCCACATACATGAAACAACAGTGAGCACGCAGGCCGTGCGATGACACTGAAAGGTAAGTTGTCACAGTTGGCACGAAGGCTCTGAACAGACAATGGCAGATGGTGGCGGCAGGGAATGCGGTCTGGACTTTAGCGGGGAGGCTCCCTGGGCTGGGCACGAGAAGCACCACGAAGATTCCCCAGCACCAACGCTGACGAGGGCACAGCGACCGTATCAAATGCTTTGCAGCAACAGCAGGAGTCATTAAACACAAACTGGACATTTTCTCTAGTGACTGCCAACCAGAAGAGCTCTGCAAAGATGATGTCATGAGCAGGAGAAACATTTTTTTGTTTCATGGGGAAAGAATGCTGCTTTTCTATAGGACCTTACAGTTCCATCCGTAAAAGCCCCACTGTGTCCATGACTGCAGTCACAGGATGAGTCTTTGAGCTACGGGACAACTGCTCCAGCACCCTGCACTCGGCTGGCACTTGGTACATGTTTGTGAAACAGAGTACGTGGGAATGAGTGAGGGGTAAGAACAACCAAAAACATGTGGATTACTAACTTCGTGTCTACTACTGGACAATTCAGTTTTCCTTCTTTATGAATTTCAGGTTTGGAAGATGTGCTTCAAAATCTTGTATTCCTGGATGATTCCCTTTTCTTAGCCAAAAATAGGTATTGATGACAGGCACAGACAATTATTTAATGAGGATAACATTCTAGTTTTTAAAGGCTTCTAATTCATTTTAAAGACTTCTAGGTCAACACTGGTCCATAACAACCTGTGCTAGCGAGGTCACTGTCACCTTAAATTATGAGGCTCTTTCTGGTGTGACACATACACGCTTAAACACAGTAAGACAAAGCTTGTTGAGGATGTTGCCTAGGAAGCCAGCTGGCTATCAACCAAGGGCGCTTGAAGTAATAAAATCACCACATTCCAGGGCAGTATTTCAATTTCTTTAATTCATGCCCAGCTCTACTAATAAATATACAAAATTTACACCTTAGTGTCGCTTGGCCTGAACAAAGTAAGAATCTTGACAGAGAAACCACGGAGCCTGGAGCGCTGGTGCACACCTGTCATCCCAGAACCGGGGAGGCCGGCGCTGAGGTTTGAGGCCAGCCTGGACTACGAGGTGAGACCCAGGCTCCGCCAACAAATAAAAAGAAAGACAACAAATACAATGAAACAAAAAGCCACACATGTAGTTTCTAATTGTCCCCATTCTCCAATCCCTTCTCCTTTTTGGTAATTATCCTTCAAAGCTTTATCTCCACCTTCCTGGTTTAGAAACTTGACCTTATAAGCACTCTGAAGTAGAGCCACCGCTTGGGGCCAGACTCCTACGACCAAAGCTCACAAGACTGACGTGTAATACTGGAAGGTTTACGTTAGTTTACAGCGGGCAGGGTCAGTGTCACATGGGCCACAGGACTCATACTGGTACTACACTACAGGTATATGCCCTCCTTACTGACAGGCCTCCATGGAAAGCCAAATTTAGTTACTGTTGAACATGGAATCAGAACAAAGAGCCTGAGATGAATCACCTAATGGCTGAACTAGCCTGATGCGTCTGCTTCCTCCGTGAGCCTGACATTGCCAACAGAGACACACAGTGCTGGCAGCAGTTCCCTGTATCCTGCCCCATCATAAAAGAAGTCCTTGCCAATGCGACCGCAATATGCCAAGGTTTTGGCTCAGGCTGTGCCTCCTCTGGACAGGGTTTGGGTGGACGCTGCCAACTTGTGCCTCTGTGACTCACTTTTCTTCTACACACGCGTGGGTCACCAACCCTGCCTTTAGATGTTCTCCTACACCCAGGCATGCTACAGGCAGATCTTGCAGTTTTCAAAGCCATACTATCAGGATCACTGGATCTATCTCTGCTTGGTATCATGGCCCCATTTTCAGGTTTAACTCTCCCAGGGCCACGTTCTTTCTGAATTCTTGTAGAGTGACTCACTGCGTCACTCACTGATGGTAATTTAGGTTTCTCTCCATGCATGCAACGATCTACACACACATTCACACACACCCCGTGGTACGCTTTTCTTTATTAGAACTTAACCCTGTGACAACATCCTGCATGGCAATGTTTATTCTTACGTTTTAAAGTATATTTTTGAACTAAACACAGAAGACTTACCTAAGGTGGTAAATATCTGAAAATAATGCCAGCTCCTGAAAATAGGTAACTTACCACAAAAGTGTTGAAAATGTAAGCTATGGCAGGCATTCTTTTCCCCAGTCAAGGACTGCTAGCTAACGACATGCATTCCAAACAATGGAGACATTTGTATCTGAGATATGTAAATTAAAGAGCAGCCTGACTGAGAGTACTTGAAAGCCCTTTTAGCACATGTCTGTCTGATTTGATCACCCTGCAAATGCAGAGTGGAAAGCATGAGTTATGGTCCCTTGAGAAGACCCATAATAGTCAGGACAAGAAAGGCCTTCTATACAGCTGCCGAAGGAAGTGCTGGCTGTGGGTCAAAGGGGACTGCAGCATTCCCCCAGCCCTGGTCGCCACAGACCCACTGCCATCTCCTGGGATGTATTCCTTGCTGATGGACAGCTTGCTTGTACGAAGCTGGTTCAGCTAAGACAGAGTGGAATTACATTTTCCCACAATATTTCTTTCCTCTCAAATGCTTTTACACCATAAAAGGCTTTAAGCCCATTCAATCTGGGAACTAAGGTGACCTTCCATATCATTTACCACCCGGTAACACCTAATAGAAGTCGAGAGGGCCCTCTTTCCCCAGCAGAATTAAGAGAACCAAGAATTAGCATTTGCAGGCAACAATAGCAACTTTGTGCGCTTCTGAGGCAGCTCGAGCTCAGGGTCTCCCAGCTGTCCAGCCTTCCCCAGTGGCAGCACCGCTGGAGGAGCACACGGGCCCCCCGGGCTTGCTGACCCTTGCAGCTCTCGCTCCCTGAAATGGCTAACTTGCCGTGGTACTGAGACACCAGCGAAGTGTGACTTCATTTCACATCAGAAAAGCAGCTTACTACATCAGAGGTCACTGTGGAAAACGCAGAGGATCCATTTCCTAACAAAATATACAAACGTTTAAATGGTTTCGGTCTCACCAAAGGCTTAACTCGATGCACCTGAAAGAAAACACCATCTCTGGTTGTCTCCCTCGGCCTCGAACTCCCTGACGACAGCACCCACCTCAGCACCTGTACCGCGTGCCGTGCTGTACTTTTTCATATAAAAACAGTCTTCTTAGTCTTGTACTGTTTTTCTTTATAGGAAACAATAAAAAAACCCTACCCTGACCCTCATATACCAGGTCAGATTTTTGCATTTCTCCACCCATCTTTCCAGCCAAGTTTCTATATTTTTCTCCGGTTCTTGGCCTTCTGTGCATTTTGACTTACCTCGTACATTCGGATTCAGAGAGGCCTTGCGGTTCCAATGTCGGATCACGTCAATGGAACCAGACATATACTGAACACTTATGTTCGGAGGGTGCTGGGTGGGCACAGGGTGTTCGTTAATACAGCTTGGCTGAACTGATACAAATCAACATGGGAGAATTCTTTACCAGGGTCATACATTTTAATAGAAAAGTAGAACAATAATTTTAGGTGCTTTATCTTGAAACCCCTGGAAGCAACCACTAGGAAGATGTTTATAAAGCGCTGGAGAAACATGTAAAAAGATGACAACTATTTTAAAATTTTGAAAACCAGTTTATTGAAGAAAGGGGTAGAAACAGTTTCCGAGGACACTACTAGAAAGTGAGTTAAATATTTAAAATTATGATAAATATTTGTTGATTGTCATAACATTTGAGAGGCAGAGATCAGTACCGAGTTTTTTGGAAGTCATGTTCATTTCTTCCACCATGACATTTATTTCCTCTTGTGCAGACTAACCTGGCTTTAAGTGGGTCCCTCCTAATCCAAGTCCTTTCAATTTGAGGTATGCCCCCCAAAAATCTCCCAAAACAAAACAAAAAAACTAGTTGGGTAGGGTAGTACCTGGTTGTAATCCTAACTATTGGGGAGGCTGAAGCAGGAAGACTGCAAATTCCAGGCCAGCCTGGGCAATTTAACAATATCCTGTCTCAAAATTTTAAAAAGTAAAAATGGATAGGGATGTAGCTCAGTACTCCCTGGGTTCAATCCGCAGTCGAAAAGAAAAGAAAAGAAAAGAAAAAAACCCCATGGTACTTACTGGTTTCATGCCTAAGTGCTGTCATGTAGATGCCTCTGAACTGTCTCAGAATATGTGTCTCAGAATCTGCAATCATCACTAATATAATTTTTCAGAATCAGACACCTCCTTTAAATTTCTCTCTTGTTTAGGCTCTTGCCTCAAGGTTTGCTGGTCTTATGCTGTCAGAGGTGAGGGGCAGGAAGGGAGGCACCCTGGGTGTAACCCGAATCTCCAGGGCTGACACTTAGTCTTCAGATGTTCTTTGTCACTATACGTGCCCACTTACTTTGTAGAACTGCTGCGATTCATGATACATGGACCTTTAAGTGAAAAAGGAGAGAAAGCCAGGACTCCACCCTCTCCCATCCAAGGAGGGCTGTCTTACCTGGTTGGTAGAAATCGGGTGACAGCTCCCGGGCCACAGCCCTCGCAATGTCGCACTCCTGGCGGGCAGCCAGAGCAGCCTGGTCGGCGGCGTCAGCCTTCGCCCTTGCGTGTGCAGTCCTACACGGGGCACAAAAGGGCCAGTCAGCACCTTACTAATTACACTCGGACACGCAAATCTCCATCCAGGAGATGTGACTTGTGATCATGGCCTGACACCTGCAAAAGCAAGTTTTAGTGTCACAGTGCTGTGAGACTTCAGGGAGAAGAACTGAGCTGAAATGATATCTGGAAGTCACTTCATTTCTCCTTTCAGGGGAAATAAAAACTATGAGCAAAGTCCGTGTGGCTTGCTGCTTACCTGGTTGGGGAAACTTACTGGATCAAATCTCCCGTTGCCTTTGGCTGGCATTATGCCTTGAAAGTATGAAGAGTAGAAATCCAGTATATGAATGTACGACATGTGTGTGGGTTTAATTCCTGTGGTAGATCTCACGTGAGAATGTGATTAAGGAAGTTATGCCCAGTGGTATGCTGGTAAAGTGTCGTTTTGGGAGGAAAGTAAGTACAACTGCTGGTGGTAGTATTTCCTGATTCTCATCGCATAAATATGATCACGATGGCCAACTGTGGGCTCCCAGCATGCTGCAAGTAGGCACGCAGCTGGGAGATGTTTGCTGCTGCCTCACACCTGACTGCCCGCGAGAGCGACTGAGCTCTCCATGTAGTAGACAGCGAGGCGGAGTTGGTGAGGACAGAAGGGATCTTTCGGTCTTCTATCTCCTCCCTGGCCCGTGCTCACTCAGGACCATGCTCTCACCCTTCCAAGGGGCTTAGGGTGAGGGAGAAGGCAGAGGGGGAAAAGCAGGCTTCTAATAACAAGATGGGAATGGATGCTCACCAGCCGGAGGGGGTCTGCAGGTCACAGGATGACTGTGGCCATCCCCCTCCAAAGCTGGGAAGGCCTGGTCCAGTTAGTGAGTGGATGGTGATCACAAGCACCTGCTCCTTATAACCCTGTAACTTTCCGTCATACATTTTCAGCACCAGGCAGGGCTACAGATAACTGGTAGTGAAAACCTAATGAAAGAGGTCCTCTTCTTTCCAGCTGGTCCTTGGGGGAGGAGGCCGGCAGATCCAGCTCTGGGAGGCTGGACTGCAGGGAAGAAAAGCAGGACGAGGGGGTCTGAAGGAAGGCTATGGGGCAGCTGGCGGGAGGCCTACTGCCAGCTGACTTCCTCCAGCCACCGCCTCTCATGCTGGGCACTCACGAGGCCCATCTCACTCCTACTTAGGACCTAGATGAGCGTGGAGGCTGGAGGCGCTGGAATGTAAGCCATACAAAGATGGAGCTTTTGTTTTGGCCCTCTGCTATAAATCCCAATGCACAGAACACTCCCTGGCACAGAGTATTTACCGAGGACTCACTTCAGGAACTAAAAAAAATGATGCTTCTTTAGGAACAGCTGGGTAGTTACTGAGGCATACATGGAATGACAGAACTGCATAGCAGTAACAACAAAAGCTGCTGAAGATTCAGCAAGGGGGAGCAGAGGGAAGGAAACAACGCTCTGAGGTGCTGCAGCGGAGGGTACGTGACCCTACGCATTTGCCAAACCCACAGCTGTGCGACACGAGCGAGGCGGGCTTTAACACCATCAGTGTCAGTCCATCAGCTGTACCAAAGCACCCAGTAACACCGGACAGGAAGCCGTGTGGCGGCCCAGGGTGGGCAGAAGAGATATATGGGAACCTCTGCACTTTTCGGTCAATTTTTCTGGTTAACTTAGAACTGCTCTAATAACGTAGTCTCCTCATTAAAAGTGATTGGATCAACTTCCAAGCATTGAAAAAGTTATTTCTGAATTTCTGGATATTTCCAGGTATTTCTATCTATAAGGGCATCACAAACTATGAAACAGAAACAAAATCAAGAGGCTAAGAAAACACCCTGAAGCAGCCAGGGGTAGTCACCGGTTGCATGGTGTCACCCCTGATGCGAGGCGATGCTCTATTTCCCTTGTTGCGCCTGAGAATCAGCCCTTGGTTCTTTTGGTTTTCTCAGAATCTCAACTTTTTCTTCCTCCGGAGTGATTTTCCATTTTAGCTGCTATTCATAGCTAGCGCCTAATTATGTCTAGGTATCATAATTAATGAAGCTGTCAGAGTGTGCTACTCTGACTTGTAATCTGCTAGCCCTTCAATGATAAATCTACAAAACTCAAGAACAAATCATTTATTCTGGTACAATCACAATACACTACCCTATAGCAAATAAATTGGTGACATTTCCTCTACCACTTTTTTTTTTTTTACAGTACGCTACACTGGAGAATAGATAAATACAGCTTACCTGCCTGCAAATGTATTTTGGAAGCCCAGCATAAGGGAAATCTCATGTGTCACTTGCGCACTTGACCCTTTACTTTTCTGCTTGCTCTTTCCTGGGAGACCAACACAGAGAGGGCTGTCCCTCCAGGTGTCAGCGCTGCTGACGGCCGGCCAGGTGAGTCCCACCACCCTCGAGCCTGCGTGCCGAGGTCTGCTCAGCAGCTTTCGGGGGACCTGATCCTGAGAACGGTGAGAACCACCCTGAGGGCTGTTTCCACCACGCTCATGTGGCCTAGGCCCCTGGCAGGTCTAGATTTTACCCATAATATAATCTGAACTCGCCTCTGCTTGTGTTAGGAACCTATGCACTCAAATCTCATGCTCGGTTCCAGAACTACTCACAGCTCCTTTATCCAGCCAGCTTGTAAGAAATGCCATTGTTCCTGGGAGGTCAGGGCTTCGAGCTAGTCCGGCTGGCCAGACCAGCTGGAACCACGGCAGCTGGTCACTGGGAGATGTATACGCACCAGAGGAGCACAAGGGCCAAGACACATTTCACTCATTCCAAGCACCCCAGGCTCGCACACATCTTCGGCCCCTGAGAATCTCCATACGCACCATCATCACAAACCCAGTCCTCCCTGAGCGCAGCACAAAGTCACTGAGCAGCAACTCCTCAGGGAGGCATCAACGGCTGACTTTCTTTTAGGGTTCTCCTCTTAAAACTAAGCCGAAGCTTGGACGATGGAGAGCGCAGGGGTGAAGCCAGGCGAGCGTGCAGGGACGCGGAGACGCGGTGCCGGCGGGCTCGCCGAGCGGTGCTGCGGCCCCCCGGGACACGGCCCCGCAGAGGTCAGGGGCACAACCCCACCAGCAGCGGGGTCCTGAACGGCAGGCGTCACTTGCAGTTAACACCTTCATTACAAATTATTTTTCTAATTAGGAGCTGGAGGGGCTAAGCTTTCTTTTTTCTTAAGAATTTAAATAGTGGCTTGTGAGGTCTCTGGTCACCTTACTCAGAAAAAATAACCTGCTTCCCCCAGTCTTCTTCTTTTGGGCTTATCTTTCTAAATTAGCACACTCAATCTTTAAAAACATAGTAATGCTTTTAGAAAAGCACATTCATCCTTGGAGGGAAGAGCTCAGCATACTCTTCCGGGTAAGGCGCATGTGGAGCCTTCAGAAGTCGCCGCAGCCTCGGGCTTTCATGACCTACAGACCGACGTGGTGGCTGGGATCTTGGCGCGCACCACGACTGTGCTGAAGGTACAGCCGCGCCCGATATTTACAGAGCGCCACTTCAGCGTTTTCTGCATTCCTCTCCCTAGCAGTAAGCGGCTCCGAAAGGACACTGATTGTGGTATTTTTTAAAGCTTGTTACACAGTACGTCAACTCCATTATCTGACCCAACTCTTAAAAGTGGACGGCAGCAGCCTTCATCTCATTGCTTCAGTTATCTGTCCTCGGGATATGCTTTGACTGTTCAAGAACTTAAAGAAAATTCTGATTAGGAAAACTGAAAAGAGCTATCGGCACACAAGAACCCAAATCGCAGTGGGTGGCGAGGCAAATCTCCCAGGCATTCAAGCCAAACCCCTCTGAGTCACTCCTGACGCCTCCCTCTCTCTCAAAGACCTCATCCGCTGTCTGGAAATCCACGTGGCACTCCCCTCAAGATACACCCTAAAGACCCAGCGACCACTGGTCCTTGCTACTCCTGCCCCGGTGACATCACCTCCGTGTCACCGGGACGGCTGCTACAGCACAGCAGGCCTCTCTGCTCCACCTGTGTACACCACGCTGCGTCCTCTCTGATTCTCTTGGAAGCCTGGCAATAACCAGGGATTTTTGCCTGGGTTATGGCAGGATGGGGGATAAGGGGCAAAAAGTACACGTGTTAGCCTTCCTTACGGACTGTGACGTTATTCATTCTTGTGAGACCTAGATTTGAGAAAACCAATTATCTCATGCAGACGGTTGCAGTCCTTCTTAGAAGAACTTAGTCTGTTGAGCAAGGAATACTCCTGACAGGACCAAGAAGTGACCGGGGCCATACACCGTGCCGGGCATGGTGGCACGCAGCTGGAATTCGAGCACTCTGAGAGGCTGAGACAGGAGGATGGCAAGTTGGAGCCCAGCCCGGACAACTTAGGAACTTCAGAGATTCTGTCTCCAAAGATAAAAAAGGGCTAGTGCAGCTCAGTGCAAAGGCTCTGGGTTCTATCCTAAGTGTCCCCCAAAGCAAACAAACTACAAAAAACAACAACCCAGAGGCATGATTTCTCTATAAGCAGCACCTGGTGGTAAACTTTCAACCTCGATTTCGTTTCCTGCTAAGACGAGGCTGGCGAAGCTCGGCACGTGATCCTCGTGCTAAGGGTACCGCAGGGACCTCAGGGCCTCCAGCCACCAACCTTCACGCTTACACACTTATCACCGACAGATGAAGATTTTAAAACTAGAATGGACAGCGAGCTGCTAAACCTTTCTCCTCAGTACATTTGGTTTTCTTGAATGTTAATTTTCTCCATGAATTTCCTTTTTTTTCTTTTTTAAAGACATGAGCTGGAATAGGAACTTCAAGACTGAGTTCTTAGGTTTTAGTTTAAAACAAGTTATATCACCAGTGAACAGTTAATCCTATTTGCCAATGCAGAAGTTCATGTAATCCTTTCCTCTAAAAACAGTAAGTTATTTACTAGATATAAAACATACACTAAGTGGCATAACACTGCTTTTGAAGTTTGGTATTTGATACTTCAAGGGCCTGAACTTCGCACACGTATTA